AAAAAAAAATAATTTAAGGTAAGTTATAATCATTTAAGGCCAGCAAGTCTCCAATGTTGCAACAGCATTTTTCTAACGGTTGTCAGCTGAACAATAGTAGTTCTGGAGAAAATAGTGGTAGTACACTGGCAGCCATATTTCCATGGGTAACACAAACAAATACTGATACAAGTATTGATCAGGAGCTTGTCAAGGACCAGGATTCTGAAGTTCAAGATTTGGCAAATCCTTCTGGGGAGAGTGTCACAGTAAGTTTCTGGATAAGTTTTCATAAAATTTTTGAATCACTGTGGTTTAATGATTGCTTTAAAATTTACTCAAGATTTTTTGTATATATTAATTAAGTTGATAAAAAAAATTAATTTTTCAGTCGAATATGGAGACAAGTGAGTCATCAAACGTCGAAAATGACTGTACTGCTAACAATGCTGACAATGACGAAAGTTGTCAAGCGGTCAGAACTTCAGAAACATTGACTATGCAGAACGCTCAATAAAATTAATTACATGTCATATTGAAGATTAATTTTATTGTTTCTCAAATAAATTTTTACATTTTTAGGAGTTTGAGAAGTCGGATCAGTTGAGCGGGGAGGAAGATGTTCCCACAGTTAGTTCGCCTGTTTTTGTGGGTAGCTCGTCATCAAGAAGAAAAAATGCTTTACCACAAAAGCAGTTTGTAGATGACGATGACAACGCTAATAATTTCACAGGTTTACCCAGTTTTTATCACTGAATAAAGAATAAAAAAAGTATAAATTTATAAATTTAATGTTGTTTCCAATCTCAAAAAATAATACTAAATAAAAAAATACGTTGGCACAAAATTTTAGGAACTCAAGATTCAGAGTGTAACGACTGTATAAATGATGACATCGATGACTCTAGGCAACAAAGAGAACCTGAACTAAGTTGTTTAGCATCCACTCTAGCTGCAACTAACACAACTCCTCAGGTTTTTAAATTTCTCCATTTTTTATTTCTTATGTAACCTTTTAACTCTTACCGGTCTTCTTAAACAAGTTTTATTATTAGTTTCAGAATAAGCTTCAAGAAATGCTTGAAATGCAGCGAAAGATTTATTCGAACATCATTGACCAACAGAAAAAGATTCTGGTTGGTAATGATGATGAGGCAAAGCCGCTAACTGCAAATCCACTTTTACAAGTTAATCCAGACTACAATAAACTGAAACAATGTTTAAAGAGAAGATTGGAATCTGTTATCGAGGAGGTCAGCATAAGTTTATTGGCTTCCAAAATAGTTTCTTATATACGGTTGTTGGTATCAAAATAATGTGAAAAAATTTGTTTCAGGTGATAAACGAGTTTGGAGCAGAAGAAACTGCTAATCGAGCTCAAAAAATCGCTGCTCTTGCCAGTGAAAGAGAGCAGAATCTTGGAAGGAATCCATTCATGTTTCATCCATTGTACCTCCCATTCAACGGCCAACCACCGTTTGTCAATCCCTTTATTCAAAATCCCGTGCCTCCTACAGGAATTTTTCCGGCTACAGCTCCATCAAATACTTTTAATCCGTTTATGTCACAATTAAGACCGCCATCTCCAGCTGCCGGAGCTGTTAATAAAACAGAGGATTCAAGGTGTGATAGATACTGAAAAGTTATTAGTAGTACAAATTAGAGGTGGAGTGTTGTGCAGGTTTTAAAAGTAATCTTGAACTTTTATTACATGCACAGTCAAGGTTAAAGTAGGTAATTAAACAGATTGGGAGAAAAAAACAGTTTGGTGTAAATATGGCTAAAATTTTTTCTATAAATAACTTGATGAAATTTTGTGGCGGATATGTAACACGATGATCTAGTCTTTTATACCGCTACCGTAATATTTATCTCTTTTAAAAACCATTTTGAAAGCTTCAATATAAAAACTAGGGACATTCTTTCAACGACTTTCTATAAAAACCGGTTTTAGTCCATTTGCTACCCGAAAGAAAAGGTCCAAAGTAACCGACTGCAGCCGATTAAACAAAATTACCGTTAACGGAAATCGTGATGGCTCATTACCGGGAAGTGCACGATCGACACCTCAAGTTTCGCTTTCTGAGGTACCAGCATCTAGTTTTTGGGCTGAGAGGGAAATAATAGAAAATTTATGGCATTTTTGGTAGGATTAGTTTTACAAAAGTTGTCTAAAATTATTTTATAATTTAGCTCTCCTCATATTTTCCACCGACAATGGTTGGAAATACGTTGTACGGTAATGGAGCATTCGGAAGTGAAGAACGTGATAGTTCAGCGAACTCTGATGATACCAGTGAAGGAGCACCCTACGACGGGGGCGCTGGAACTAGGTTAGAAAAGGAAAAAGTTTTTTTTCAATTTTTGCCTATATTTACATTACTTTCAAAATCTGTTTTACTAGCAGTTACAGTAAGAACAGAGGTTGTGTACTATTGGATAATTCATTAACGTTTTCAAATTTTACTGGATACGATTTCAGCACTACACTGACGCCTATGCATTTGAGGAAAGCTAAATTAATGTTCTTCTATACGCGATATCCCAGTTCCGCCTTACTGAAGTCTTATTTTCCTGATATACGATTTAATAAGCACAACACTGCACAATTGGTCAAGTGGTTTTCTAATTTTAGGTAACTTTTATTTTTTATTCTTTTTTGAAAGAATTTAATATTAAGTTGCATGGTTGCAGCAGTAATGGATTAGGGCATAGGATTGATTTGTTAAGTGACATTTAATGGTTGTTGAAGATGAGGATGAGAAGAACGGAGAAAGCATAGGAGAAAGAAAAATCTATAGAAATGAAGTAGTGTATGGGAATAATATTTTAATTTGCTGATGTTATTGGTAATAATGGTAATGTTGAGATGTATAACAAGTGTTTTAATGAGACAAATTTACATTTTGTTTCTATCGCTGCAAATAATTGATGGACTGTAAAAAGTTGCTGCTGTTGATCTGAGGTGAGAATGGTTGATGACGGACGGTCAGTAAACAGTCATTTGAGAAGTTTATATTGGTGGTTACTTTGGGGAGGAAAAAAAAAAACAAACTTTTAGGAGTAAGACACCTGCATATAAATATAAATGCTAGCACAGTATCCAATTAATGGTTTAAATATCCAAGCTAATATAGGTTTAGTTTTTAAGGTCAAATTTATTTATTTACAAAATGTTTGTTGAGTTGTCAGATTTTGACAGTTCTTCATTATTGTCACTTCATCATCGAACACTAATACTAATGATGATGATGATAATAATAATAATATGATCGTTATGTAATTTAATCTTCTGTTTGTTCAAGATACTGTTTTTGCACAGAATCATTTTTGCTTGAAATATAATGACCTGAAATCAAAGTTCTTTTCTCTTTGTCACTTTTTTTTTTGTTTCTATTTTATTATTATGTTTTGCTAAATTGTTTCGTTTCAATTTTCTTCCTCAGCTTTCTTCTTCTCATTTTTATTTCAGTATGTATAGGCGTTTCAACTTCTAAGATTTTTGTGTTCTTTACAGGGTCTTTTTTGAGTCTTTTTTTTTTGGCTAATTATTAGTTGATAATCTTAATTAATTGTCATTTTTTTTTGCAGAGAATTTTTCTACAATCAAATGGATAAGTATGCACGAAACTATATTGCTGAAGGTGTAAAAAATAAGGAAGACATTGTTGTGACACCAGAATCAGAAATTTATAAAAACCTTAACCAACATTATAACAGAAATAATCATATTCAGGTGGGTGTTAGCATTTTCTTTGCCTCTGTTCATAATTCTGTTGAGTAAAAGAAAAAAAAAAGCAGAATTTTTTTTTGACCTTTAGAGAAAAGGTCACTGTTATATTTTTTGTATTAATTTATAACAGAAAAATAGATGTATATATACTGTTGAGTTTTGGTTTTTCTTTTCTTTTTGTAAAATAAATTTTCAATTTTTGTATTAGAAAAAAACAGTTTTTTTCCTTTTTCAGCCACCCGAAAGACTAGTCAGAGTTATTCAAGAGACATTACGTGAATTTTTTGTTGCTGTTCAAAATGGTCGAGATGCTGAACCGTCGTGGAAGAAAACCATCTATAAAGTGATTACACGAATGGATGATCCAATACCAGAATATTTTAAAGATCCAAATTTTTTGGAACGTCTAGAAACCTGAAGTAATTGGGTGGTTTAGCTAGCTAAAAGGCAACAAAGCAACAAAAAAAGGTGGTGCAATGGAGAAGGAGGCAACAAAAAAAAAAAATAAATAAATAAAATAAAATAAAATAAAAAAAACCTTCATCAACAATGGAGAACAGAATGGAAAGCAGTACAGAAAATGTTTTCAACAGTTTTGTAAATAACCGTATTTTATTATTATTGTTGTTATATTACTATTATTATAGTTATTTTCCTATGTCTCATCCATCATCGTCATCGTTCATCGCCATTATAATTGC